CTCTCTACTTTCTCCACCTCCACCTCCACCTCCACCCAGTACCTCACTCACTGCTCACGAGATTGCAAATCATTTCAAAAACAAGATTGAAGCAATTTGTAGGGGCATTGACACTGCACAGACATCCATCCCACTTAGCATACCTTATACTAAACCTCCCTCAACACTTTCCTCTTTTGACCTTGCTACTACCGAAGAGGTCATTAAGGTTTTCTCAGAAGCCCATCTCACTACCTGCCCCCTGGATCCTGTCCCCTCACAACTACCACGGTCACCCTCTTCTTCCATCCTATGTTCCCTCACTCACATCTTCAATCTCTCCCTCTCTAACGGTGTCTTCCCCTCCCCTCTAAAGCATGCACACATCACTCCCATACTTAAAAAGCCCTCCCTGGACCCCACCAACCTGAACAACTTAAGACCCATCTCCCTGCTGCCATTTACCTCTAAACTCCTAGAACCTTTAGTCTACAATCGCCTGAGCTCCTACCTCACTGACAACAACCTTCTTGACCCTTTACAGTCTGGCTTTCGCTCACTACACTCCACTGGAACTGCCCTATTAAAACTCAGTAATGATCTACTAACAGCTAAAACCAATGGCCACTACTCTGTACTCTTACTACTTGACCTCTCTGCGGCTTTTGATATGGTTGACCATCCCCCCCTCCTCAAAAAACTCCACTCTCTTGGCCTCCGAGATTCTGCTCTCTCCTGGTTCTCCTCCTACCTATCGCAGAGCTCCTTCAGTGTTACCTATAACGCTGCCTCCTCCTCTTCACTCCCTCTCTCTGTAGGGGTCCCTCAAGGTTCTGTCCTTGGACCCCTTCTCTTCTCCATCTACACCTCCTCCCTTGGTCACTTGATAAACTCCCATGGCTTTAAGTACCATCTCTATGCTGATGACACACAAATCTATCTTTCTACCTCTCACCTCCCCCTTCAGTCTCCTCTCGCATTACTAACCTACTAAGTGACATATCGGCATGGATGTCACTCCACTTCCTCAAACTCAATCTTTCCAAAACTGAGCTCTTAGTATTCCCCCCAGCCCGTGCCCCCTCCCCTGACTTCTCCATTAAGATCAATAACACAATCATCTGTCCCTCCCCTCATGCCAGGGTACTAGGTGTAATCCTAGACTCCCATCTGTCCTTTCAGTCCCAAATCCAATCGCTGTCCAAGTCTTGTAGACCTCACCTCTGACACATCTCCAAGATACGCCCGTTCCTAACATTGGAAACTACTAAGCAACTAATTCACTCCCTTGCTATATCTAGCCTTGACTATTGTAACTCCCTCCTCATTGGCCTACCTCATCGCAGGCTATCCCCTCTTCAGTCTATCATGAATGCTGCGCCAGACTCATCCACCTTACTAGCCATTCTGTATCAGCCACCCCTCTCTGCTAATCCCTCCACTGGCTTCCCGTTGCCCAACGGATAAAATTCAAAACATTAACAATATTGTATAAAGCCATTTATAACTCAGCCCCAAATTACATCACGATCTTGTCTCTAAATATCACCCAAACCGTACTCTCCGCTCCTCTCAAGACCTCCTGCTCTCTAGCTCCCTTGTTTCCTCCTCCCATGCTCATCTCCAGGACTTCTCCAGAGCTTCTCCCATCCTCTGGAACTCTCTACCCCAATTTATCAGACTATCACCTAATCTGCTCACTTTTAGGCGATCTCTGAAAACCTATCTCTTCAGGGAAGCCTATCCTGCCCTCAGCTAATAATAGAATCTTCTACTCTTCCAACCAGTCCATCCCCCACAGTTACTACCTTTTGTACCACTAGTACCTCCCTCCTAGATTGTAAGCTCCGAGGAGCAGGGCCCTCCTATCCCTCTTGTATTGTACTTTTGCTGTATTGTCTCCCGTTATATTGTAAAGCGCTGAGCAAACTGTTGGCGTTATATAAATCCTGTATAATAATAATAATAATAAGTCCAAAGGCTTCTAAAGTTTTACCAGTCCAGCACAGCTGCTTTAGGTCTGGTTGGGAGAAGAACGTTCATGCTGCTAATGTACAGCGCTGAGCAAACCCTTTGGCGCTATATAAATACTCAATAATAATAATAATGATTCTATATCAGTGTTTCCCAACCCTATTTCAGTCAAGGCACACTTTAAAATTTTTAACAATTCCCATTCCAAAATGTAGCAACACTCACACACCAAGGACATACAACATTTGAGGTGATTTATTCTTACAAAGCAAATACACTATTGCACACTGGTATTGACTAGTATTCGAGGGCTGCTCTTCTTCAGTTTATCTCCTTCGCTCTGCTAATGTGACCCCAGTGCTGATTGAGAGGGACAAACCAGCACTGACAAGTTTCTTATCAACTGATGATGTCATCTTTTGTTAGGACACTGGCTGCTAGCTGTAATGCTTCACAATGAGAGCAGTCTTGATCCACTTGCTAGCTTGTGGCCAATTTTTGGGCAACTGGAGGCAATTTTTCAGGCACCCCTGAAGAACCCAAAAGGCTCCCCCCTCCCCAGAGTGCCACAACATCCTATTTAAAAAAAAGTATTTTGTAATGTAAAATTCTGCGGTATTTAGTTTAACTTTGTTAGTAGACCCCATGGAGGTGACAGTTAGTGACTCCTAGCTTCAAGAGGAGGTCTTTTGTCTAATGAAGGTAATGGCAATCAACACAAGCTCTAGAATGAAATTACTTGCATATGCCTATGTAACGGAACCGACCCAGACTGCGCTTGAGAACTTCCGTTAGAATACTGCTTCCCTGTCCAAACACTGACAACAGACACCACGGCCGACCATACAAGACTAGACACACCAGTCTTGAAGTAAACCAGGAGGTAGACTAGTTTATTTGAACACAGATACAAGATATATACACTCAAGGGACAGTCCCCCCTCCCTGCATAATAACACAGGGTGGGGGACAATATATATTTTTAGTAACAAGAGACACACAGGTATTCAAACTTCACACCAGCAGACAGTCCCATCAGGAGGGAGGGCTGCTGTAGACAACCCCCCCCCCCACTAAGCTAATACACATAAACACATACATCCCATAATAGTTTGCTCCCAAGCCAAACAATAGAACAATGGGATGCAGCCACATAACATGAAACAATCAACAACCCCCTATCCCAATATTAGGACAGATCACCCTGTACCCCTAACAGGCACAGGGTGATTTACACATTAGAGGAATATGGGGAGCTGAGACAAGGGTCTCCCCATCTCTCCAAACTGAGCTGGGTTCCATGGGCCCCCCACCCAAAGCGACTCCCGTCACAGCCTATAAAAGTCATAGGCGCATAAACTTGCATGAACATGCGCAAATACGCACCAGACCTAGTATTTTTTATGCTGGATTTTTCTGCCATCTTCAGAAAGAAAGATCCAGCAATAATGGGATTATTTTCTATGCCTGTGTGCATGTATCCATAGACTGCAGATAGATAACAGGGGGCTAATGAGAGGTTCCCCAAGTGTTGTGGGTTTAGGACAGCTGCCCCTTTTACTCTACAGTTTTGTGGCTCCGTGTCTGCCATATTGTAGCAGTGCTCTGGAGACTGGCAATACTATTGTGTAAGACAGAATGTGCCTGAATGAAATTACAAGTGTTGGCTGAGTTTACAGAGGCTAAGCAGGGAGAGAGAAAGAGCAGCCACAGGCATCAGTGGGGAGGACAGAGAGATGAGGACTGTGCAGCTGGAACATATGAGACTCTTTATGAGTAACAAGTACAATGCACACCTGCTCAGACTGCTGGATTGTACCAGAAGAAGTGAACTATTTATATCAGACTGTTGAGCTGGCACCTTTTTCAATACTACCATAACGGCCAGTTCACACTACAAAAATGCACTCTGCATTCCAGATACGTTTTTGCTTACAGTTCACACCACGTGCAGTTCCGGTGCAGTTTTGATGCAATTTGCTATGTTCCAGTATGGTTGTGTGCAGAAAAAATGCAGCATGTTCTACTTTTTTTTCTGCACCAGAAACTGACTGGACCTGACTGCACTGGTGTGAACTAGGGCCATTGGAATACATGGAAAACACTGTGCATGCATTTTTGATGCAGAAAAAAAAGTGCACTGAACTGCATCTAGCGTGAACTAGCCCAAAGGGTCAGTTCACACTACAAAAATGCACTCTGTATGCATTCCAGATATGTTTTTTCTTATAGTTCACACCATACACTGTTCCAGTGTAGTTTTGATGCAGTTTGCTATGTTCCAGTATGGTTGTGTGCAGAAAAAATGCAGCATGTTCTACTTTATTTTCTGCACTGGGAACTGACTGCACTAGTGTGAACCAGGGCCATTGGAATACATGGAAAACACTGTGCATGCATTTTTGATGCAGAAAAAAAGTGCACTGAACTGCATCTAGCGTGAACTAGCCCAAAGGGTCAGTTCACACTACAAAAATGCACTCTGTATGCATTCCAGATATGTTTTTGCTTATAGTTCACACCATACACTGTTCCAGTGTAGTTTTGATGCAGTTTGCTATGTTCCAGTATGGTTGTGTGCAGAAAAAATGCAGCATTGTCTACTTTATTTTCTGCACTGGGAACTGACTGCACTAGTGTGAACCAGGGCCATTGGAATACATGGAAAACACTGTGCATGCATTTTTGATGCAGAAAAAAAGCACACTGAACTGCATCTAGTGTGAATTAGCCCTTAGTGTTACCTCTGTACCTCCAGATTTTGTATGTATGTAGAACCAAAGCTATATAAACCATCATCTGCTTCTACTGCCATCAAAGGAGAAATGTACCGTAGTTTTCGCTCCATAAGACACACCTGACCATAAGATGCACCTAGGTTTTAGCGGGAGAAAAACAAGAAAAAAAATATTCTGAACCAATGGACTGCAGACATAGTACAGGAGATGACCAGAGACTGCGGACACAGTACAGGAGATGAGCAGAGACTGCGGACATAGTACAGGAGATGAGCAGAGACTGCGGACATAGTACAGGAGATGAGCAGAGACTGCGGACATAGTACAGGAGATGGCCAGAGACTGCAGACATAGTACAGGAGATGAGCAGAGACTGCGGACATAGTACAGGAGATGACCAGAGACTGCGGACATAGTACAGGAGATGGCCAGAGACTGCAGACACAGTACAGGAGATGAGCAGAGACTGCAGACATAGTACAGGAGATGACCAGAGACTGCAGACATACTACAGGAGATGACCAGAGACTGCGGACATAGTACAGGAGATGACCAGAGACTGCGGACATAGCACAGGAGATAACCAGAGACTGCGGACATAGTACAGGAGATGACCAGAGACTGCTGTTACAGCCGGGTGCCCACACTAAAGTTGCCGGCGCAGGAAGACTGCACAGCACTGGACCGAGGAACAGGTAAGGTCCTGCTGCAGAGGAGAGCTGAGCAGCCAGCCCAGTATTCTGACACGGTGGCGGCGGCAGAAATACCAGACCGGCCGCTCCATAAGACGCACTGACATTTTCCCCCCTTTTTTGGGGGGAAAAAAGTGCATCTTATGGAGCGAAAAATATGGTATGTGTTTGAATGCCAGTAGAATCCATTGACGTCATCCTGTGTTCACTCTGAAGTGTCTTTCCTGCCAGCACAAATGCTAAATCACCTATAAGTATTTGTCCATATCGACACCTAGCTTGAATTTTTTATTTTTTTGCAAAATGCAACTTTCAATGTCATAGTTAAAACTGAAGGGACATGATGTTGCTTGCTAGTTATCTAGGTTTTAGGGCCACAAAGGTGACAATATGCTCTTAGGTATCAGATTAGAAACTTCAGGATGAACGCAGGATCGAGGTGCTTAACCAGTCATGAACATTGTGTATACTGTACAAGCCCCTCTAAAAAATACATTTAAATACTTTGGGTATGTGTAATACACCCTACCTCTTCTTTTTCTTCCCTGTAGCTCTCACTTTATATTTATGGACAATTCCTGGCTGTCATTTTTACAGCCAGGGGTTGTTTGTATTTACACTAGAGCAGGACTTTTTGCTTCTCTGTGTAAACTGAACTGAACTGTGGTTGCAGTGTCTAAAAGAGTTATGATCATTGTGACCTCCCTGGAGCATTCACACCAGGTCGAAAGGGTGACTTTTGATCTGCAGATGATACCAGTTAAAACAGCATTGAAAGTAAAAAACAAACAAGCAAAAATAAAAAGAATGTTCCTTTTTAACCACGTAGTAGTCCCTAGTTAACTCTAAGAGTCCTACAATTTTCAATCCTACAATTTTCTCCTTAGTTATCATTTTGCTGCTGATTTTTTTCTCTATATACATCAAAAGAAATCTTTGTTTGTACTGAAAAAAAAAATGTATTATCTTGTTATGTTAAGTAATGACAATAGGCCCAGAGTTGAAATGTAAACATTGTTCTGATCCATAAGTGGTATACAGGTGAAGAAGCTGAACTGGTTAAAGAAGAATTATTAGTATGTTTTACATTATTCAGTTCCCCTACTACATGTAGATTAGTGCCCCCATACCTGTCATACCTGTTTGTATATAATAATGTGTAATAATTATTTTTTGTAATATGAGAAGTTGCAATGCAATTTTTTGTGTGTCTCTCTCTCTGTGTATATATATATATATATATATATATATATATATATATATATATATATATACAGTATATATATATTTTCCTGACCAAAAATATTGACACCCCTGAATTGTTGTCAGATAATGCACCACTTTGCCCAGAAAATTGTTGCAATTATAAATGTTTAGGCATTCTCATGTTTATTTCTTTTGTTTGTATTGGTATGACACAAAAAAGTGGAGAAACATAAAAGCCAAATCTTACACATTCTATGCAAAACTGCAAAAATGGACTGGACAAACTTATTGGCACCCTCAATTTAATATTTGGTAGCACACCACTTGGAAAAATAACTGAAATCAGTGGCTTCCCGTAATCATCAATGAGTTCTTGCACCTCTCTACTGAAATTTTGGACCAATCTTCTTTTGCCAACTGCTCCAGGTCTCTCAGATTGAAAGGGTTCCTTTACCCAACTGCTGTTTTGAGATGTCTCTACAGGTTTTCTATGGGATTGACATCTTTACTCATTGCTGGCCAGTTCAGTACTCTCCAACACTTTGTCTTAAACCATTTCTGGGTGCTTTTTGATGTGTGCTTTGGGTCATTGTCCTGCTGTAAGACCCATGACCTCTGACAAAGACCCAACATTCTGACACCGGGCCCTACATTGCACCCCAGAATTCTTTGGTAGTCTTCAGATTTCATCCAGTGCCTAAAGCAGCAAAGAAACTCCAAAATATCAGCAGTGGGGTCCTCCTGGATCTCCCACAATAGCGTCCGTTTCCATTCAGATGGCGACGTATAGTGCAAGCTGACACAGTTGTACCCTGTGCCTGAAGGTCAGCTTGAATTTTTCTGGAAGTTGATCGAGGTTCTTTATAAACCATTTGACCAATCCTTCATTGCAATCTTTGATCAGTTTTTCTCTTTCATCCACATCCAGGGAGATTAATGACAGTGCCATGGGCTGTAAACATCTTGACAATGTTTCATAGAGTGGACACAGGAAAATTAAGATCTCTAGAGATGGACTTGTAACCTTGAGATTGTTTGTGCTTTTCCACAATTTTTGTTCTGAAATTTTCAGACAATTCTTTGCTGCTCTTTCTCTTGTACAAGCTTCATATGGCACATAGAGACAAACAACAGAAGGTAGTGTTAATTTGTGACCATTTTAACTGTCTGCTGGTGTGATTTCTACATTGTCCGCACTTGATTGATACAGGTGAGTTTAATTACAAATTACAGGAGCATCACAAACTTGGAATGCAATTATTTCTTACAATTTTGAGAAGGTGCCAATAATTTTGTCCAGTCCATTTTGGGGTTTTGCATGGAATGTGTCAAATTTGGCTTTTTGTTTCTCCACTTTTTTGTGTCACACCAATACAAACAAAAGAAATAAACATGAAAATGAACAAACGTAAATAGGTAGGTGCTAAAAGCAACCATGCCACAAATTTTAGGGATAAATCAACTCTCTTCATCTTCCAACAGATACTAATACCAAACCAAATGTGATAAACATTCTCCCAATTTCATCTGACCAATAATAAACATAAAACAATTATATATGTGATATACAGTGATTATATTGTAGATAGTGACAATCATTTAGAGATGTGTTGCTGTAGACCAAAATATGTGCGCTTTCACCATGTGCAAACGGAATAAGTGAATTCCTCACTCACCAAAGATAGTTGACACCCAGTTCAGGTGGTCAAAAATCCATTGTTATAATGTGAAAAGAAGATCAGCAGCAGGCTCTCCTGGGATATCCCTCCTGGTCACCAACACATCATAGGTATCGCCACCAGTTGGATATTCAAAGATTCCAGATATAATAGTAGTAACTAGGCCCTTAGTACCAGGTTCTCCTTACCAAGAAGGTGATGCTCTAAGCAGCTCAAATAAATCAAATTAGTTATGCGTTCTAAGTGTAGTATTTATTAATAGTTGCATAGTAAATATACAGTATCTCCCAGAAGTGAGTACACCCCTCACATTTTTGTAAATATTTTATTCTATCTTTTCAACACTGAAGAAATGACACTTTGCTACAATGTAAAATAGTGAGTGTACAGCTTGTATAACAGTGTAAATTTGCTGTCTTCTGGGAGATACTGTACATATGGCTTTACACACACATGTGGTGGTGCCCAAAAACCGGCACCAGTTTGAATAGCCTGTGTATTCTGAAAAAAATGGCTGGTGTGCGCTCCAAGCCTCGCTTTCGCTGGACAGGAACCTGGAAGTGACGGGATCACGCTTCTTACGTACCTTACACCTGGTAGCGTCTTCAGGAAGAACATGAGAATGCCTAAACATTTGTAATTGCAACAATTTTTTGAGCAAAGTGGTGCATTATCTGACAGATATACAGGGGCGACAATATTTTTGGCCATGACTGTGTATATATATATATATATATATATATATATATAAAATGTATATAGCCAGCCATGCTAGAAGTTTGACTGTCATGCTGATTCATTGGCTTCAGCACTTTGAAGGCTTGACTTGGAACAAGTATGCAGTGTGTCTGATTTCACATGTTTGCTTCAGGTCTTTGACTCAAAAAGTGTTAAGGCCAGGAAACTAGCAAGGAGAACCTACTGTACATATCCCTCAGCAATGGCTATCTCCATATTTCTGTCAGCACAAGTTTACTTTAATGAAAATGGTGGTTATTGCTTAAGAAAATATAGATCAGATCAGAGACATATCCGATGCTTCAGGTCTCACTTGTCTTGGAGTTAACACAGTGTCTAGCTCATCTGTTTTCAGGCTTGGTGAAACAATCATATCAGCGACATTTTCTCCATACCGGCTCACCCAAACCTAAACATGTTAATAACCGTTCTTTGAATCCTTGACTGCCTCGGGAAAGCACAGCCCATTGCACTTGTCTGGCAGAGAGTTAACAAGAAACATATCTGCTTAGAAGATGTGCCTGGGGTAAAGGGAAGTAATTGAGTGTAGCTGGACTTTGTGGCCACGACAGTCATCTTCACCACTGTTAGACTGTGAGGATGACTTGCTGCCTTTATTCATGCTGTCAGGCATCCAAATTATTTATAAAAAATGATCTACTCTCATATGCTTTGCTGTGCCTATGACATGCCATTTACGTCTCCTGTAAACCAAAACCAGGCAATATTTTCCACAAACAGCTCAATGGTAACAGTCAAACGCTGGCCGCAATGTTCCCCACTGACAGACTAAAAACCCAGAGGAAGTGTCCTGTACACTAATGGATTCTAAGTCTGCAATCTGCAGGTATTAAAGGGACAGTGTAAAATACATCACAGCACATTTACAATCTATTTAATAAATGTATTAATAAAAGCACATCACTTCTTCATACAAAGGCTGAATTTTATAGGCAATTCCACAGGTTCAAGCATTATATGTTGTATTCAACCAATTTAAAAAATGACCCTAAAAGAGGTTGAAGTGCTCGTAGAATTAAAGCAGTATTAAACCCTAAAGCAAACATTTATTATATTGCAGCTTACCAATTCTTAGATGTGGTGGCTGCATTAGTTACCTTTTTTAGACTTTCTTTCTTTCTTCTATTTTCATCTGGCGATCCAGCCAGTAAGTCTGTTGTTTTTCAACATAGCAAGCTCTCTTGCAGTTACAGGGATGAGAAAACCATTTAACACTGACAGGGGTGCTTAAAATGATCAGTTTTTATTTATTTGCGTGCAATGTAAAACATTTATTCCAAAAGAAAAAAAAACAGTTTGCTGTAACTGTTTATACAGTATTAGCTGCAGTTTGGCTTCAGTTTGTATATCTAAATCTTC